TCCCTACAGAGTGAAGGCTGCCCAGACCGAGTTAGGACAGCAAATCCTGGCCGATTTCGAAGAAGCGTTTCCTTCCCAGGGCACCAAGGTATTGTTTTGCATTTTCCCTTCAGTCTTTGGATATTATCACCATTTGTGCCTGATGCACACTCACTGTAGTTACTGTTCATTAACCATTCCAAAAGCGTTTGCCAGCAGCCATAACGTCTGTTGGCTAGAGGTTCAGGGTAATGAGACCATCCTTGATTTTAAATATCCCAAAGCAACAATTGATTCCCCATCTGTGTCCTCCCAGTATCAAAAAGTCAGGATTTGTTTCAGTTTAATTTAATGTGTGTCAAACCCAAGAAGTCTGCCTGGTAAATTCCTTCTTTTTCTCATGGCTATGTTTAAAAAAAATAATAATAATAAAATTCTTTTTCAAGCCACAGTGTTTTTTAGGATCGTTACATAACTTTTTGGTTTCAGTTTGGTGAAGAGACAACTGGGAGGAACGTCCCCAGGCTTATGTAACTCTTGGAGTGACACAGTTAGGAGGCTGGCTTTTAATGATCCTGTTCTTTGGGATTAATCCCTTTAGCTCTCACTGGTAGCATAGCTGTTTGTGTTGTGTCTGCAAAGCCCACGGTATTTCACTTGTGAGCTATTGGTTACACTTCTCATGTAACAAGCTTTGCCTCACTTGGCCATCACCGTGCCGGGGTAACTGCCTTCAGCGCCATCCTGCAAATTATAGCAGACATAAGCTTAATGCTTTGCGTGTGTTGGGGAGAGAAGAACCCTCAGAAGCTTTTTTCCCCCTCTATTATTTGAGCTATTTCAGGAGAAAGAACTGTGCAGCGCAGAAGCGACCCAAAGCACACGCCGGCAAGCAGCACTTGGTGGGTGGAGTTGGGGGATATATGTTCATTCACCGAGCCAAGGACCGTTTCCTGGATCTGCTCTATAATTCAATAACTGGAAATATCTTAATCGTTTTTCTTTGCACCTCATAAAAGAAACTTAGGAAGTAGGTGGGGGTAGCAGCCCCAGCTTTGTAGATTACCTTCTACAGGAAACCTGCCTCTGATTTTAATGTCATATATTCTGGCTGACTTCTAGCAATCAGGTATTTTATGTGTAAAGCACGTTCCTTTGCGGACTTCATCTTCCTTATTCATTTTCTGTAAGTGCGGGGAGTGGATGTTGGAAAGCTGTCCTGTAAAAAGGGGTTGTACGGTATTCACAAATTACAAACACTAGCCTCTTCTTAGTCCAGGGCCTGCTATACTATACTCTGCTGTTCACCCTGGTTTTAAGAAGTTTCAGAAAAATGTGGATGAAACCCAGCTTTATCATTTAGAAAAAAATAACGTTGACCTACATCATATCTTTTACTCAGACCCCCACGAGGCAGATGCGGTGAAAAATGGTTTTCTTTAACAACTTGCTTCCCTTTTCTCTGTCTGGGCGACTTCTTTTTAAGAGTTTTCTTTTTTCCTTCTGAATGACTATTGACTTCTCTTAAAGGCTTTGTGTTATTATTACTATTTCACAAATGGAAATCAAGATTATTTTTTTAAAAATTACCCAAAGGTTACCTATTAGATCCTTTTTAAATGAAAAAATCTGAACCCATGAGCCCATAGGTTTTGGCTTTCGTGACTTCTCTGTCAGATCAAACATTTTCATCTAGAAGCCAGAGTTGAGCAGTCAGGGTGCTCAGTGAATGACAGAACAGCCACTCAGCACGGAGCAAGTCAGAATTTTAGCAATTTAGCTCTCGGGCAGCTTAGGTTAACACTTAGGAAACTCTTGAACTTCAGTTGAGGTGGATAAATTGGACAGAATTGACCAAAAAAAAAGTCATAAAGATTTGGAAGACCCTTAATCATCACCTAGTTAAAGTCCATTATTTTTTTTCACTTATATTTCAGATGAGTGTCAATAATTGTGCCAAAGCTATGTGGCTATTTAGCCAAGCCAAGAGCAGATGCCAAGTGTTCTTTTCACTATAGCCCACTCAGCCAGCCATGTTCATTCAGTGAGTTACTATGAAGAAAGGGTCAGCGAGACTGAATTGCCTTCAGTAATACAAGGGCCTTCCCACCATGATGTATCAATACAGCCCCTTGATAGTTACTTCTACTGTTTTTTTTCAGGTCAAGGGGCCAGTATCATAATATTTTTTACCTTTGGCTGCCTGTCTGCATGGTTGACTATCAGTGGGACAAGGCTGGTGGTTTAGAACCTGGATTTAGGTTTTAAATGCCAGCACACTGTTTGGCACAAATATAGCACCTTAGGAACAGGAATCCAAGGTTAGAATCAGGGGAAATTGGCATGTGTGGAGTGAGACTGGTATCATTCTGATTTTTAGGGCTCTTCAGCAAGGTGACTTCAGTTCAGATCGCAGAAGTTTCTACCATCATTGCTGGCCCTGTTTCTAAAATGTCTCATTGCTGATTCATGGAGTAGCTTTTATTATTGGCTACTGCAGACTAGCTTAATGATTCTTTCATCAAGGAACAAGTAACTAAAATATCCATCCACAGCACAAGAATGAGTGTCAGGGGAGTGGAAGTAATAATAACATCATGAGTAGAACAAGAAGCAGCAGCTGTCAGAGGCCATAAGATTTAAAGGTCATTTCTGGCTTTTGAACTGGTGTGTGTTGTTTGTTTTACCAGAGGCCAGGAGGACCCAGCAATGTCCTACGAGATGCTTGTCTGGTTGCTAATATTTTGGACCCCAGAATCAAGCAGGAAATCATCAAAAAGTTTATTAAACAGCATCTGTCAGAGTATCTAGTACTTTTTCAAGAAAACCAAGATGTAAGTATTGACCAAAGGAGATCAGATGTTACATTTGAATTTATCAGTTTATTTTAAAATTTATTTTATTTTTGGCTGCATTGGGTCTTTGTTGTTGCACGTGGGCTTTCTCTAGTTGCGGCTCTCGGGGGCTACTCTTCGTTGCAGTGCGCAGGCTTCTCATTGCGGTGGCTTCTCTTGTTGTGGAGCACAGGCTCTAGGCACTCGGGCTTCAGTAGTTGTGGCTTGCAGGCTCAGTAGTTGTGGCACGCAGGCTCTAGAGTGCAGGCTTAGTAGTTGTGGCTCACGGGCTTAGTTGCTCCACGGCATGTGGGATCTTCCCGGACCAGGGATTGAACCCATGTCCCCTGCATTGGCAGGCAGATTCTTAACCACTGCGCCACCAGGGAAGCCCTGTTACGTTTGAATTGTATTGAAAATTGATTGCTCTCAAGTCTGTGATTTATATTTTATTAGTGTTACTGTCTTAAAATGTTGATTGTTGGACCATGAATCCTAGGGGCTGACTGTACAGTTCAGCAATTCTTAACCATTTTGGGGTCACTGACCCTTTGGAGAAATTAATGAGAGCTACAGAGCTTCTCCCCCAAAATGCACCTATGCATAAAACTTTGCATACAGTTTCAGGAAGTTTGTAGAACCCTGAAGCCCAGTCATAGACCCCAGGTAAAGAACCTCTGGATCAAGTAAAAAAAAAAAAGTAGCCTAGACTCTGAAACCGTGAGAAATAGAGAAATTGGTTTTGTTTTTCTCGGTTCTTCTATGTTTTTTCTTATTTCCTTGAACTGTCAATACTACGTCTAAGCACTGGGGTGGATTTTGTTCCCTGCCTCCCCAAGGTTGCCTGGCTGGACAAAATTGACCGGCGCTATGCCTGGATCAAGCGCCAGCTTGTGGACTACGAGGAGAAATACGGCCGGATGTTCCCGCGAGAGTGGTACATGGCGGAGAGGATTGCAGTAGAATTTTGCCACGTCACAAGGTAGATGCCAACTCTCTACTGGTTTTGGTGTTGATTGAAATCAGTTGAAACCAGTTGATTGACACCAATCCCCCAGCCTCTACAGGCTCCGTGTTGTCTTGTGGCTTTGGTACCACTCCCACCTTTTTGGGTTTGCTTGTTTGAAAGTCATCATTTTAATGAGAATGTCTTCAGCTGTGCTGGACTCCCCTCAGAGGACTCCTTTCCTTTTGAAAGTCAGATTTTATATACCCAAAACCAAGTCCCAAACTCCAGCTGTAGCTATATCCCACCTTCTCCAACTTTAGAGTTCCAGCCCTAGAGGAGAGAGCATTATGTGAAGGCAAGGTAAACACTTGATAAGGAGACATGGACTAGGTTACGTGAGAAGCCCTGGGCCAGTAGATTGTAGCCAGAGCACTTGTTTTTGTGTTTGTTTTGCCTTAAGAGTAAAATATACCCAACACGGCAGCTATGTCTGCTCTTATCTTTGCTCTAGGACTTTCCTATAGCCTCGCCCTTGCCGTGAACAGCCTGCCTTCTTAATCAACTAAAAGTTCTTCAACCAGATTTCCCTGTAGTAGTTCATTGCCCCACATTTTCCCACGTGTCTGTATCACCTATATCAATGTGCAGTGAGAATACATCCATCATTGTTCTGCTTTTCTTTTTTTTTAAATAAATTTATTTGTTTATCTGTTTATTTATGGCTGCATTGGGTCTTCGTTGCTGCACGCGGGCTCTCTTTGGTTGGGTCGAACGCGGGCTACTGTTCATTGCGGTGCATAGGCTTCTCATTGTGGTGTCTTCTCTTGTTGCAGAGCACGGGCTCTAGGCACATGGGCTTCAGTAGTTGTGGCATGCAGGCTCTAGAGCGCAGGCTCAGTAGTTGTGGTGCGTGGGCTTAGTTGCTCCGCAGCGTGTGGGATCTTCCCAGACCAGGGCTCGAACCCTGTGTCCCCTGCATTGACAGGTGGATTCTTAACCACGGCGCCACCAGGGCAGCCTTGTTCTGCTTTTCTGCTTTCTGGGTAGGTGGTTCCAGAGGGACAGGGGCAATATCTACTTCAGTGACATAGTAGACACTCAGGAAATAGTTGTTGAGAACATTTCCCACCCCTAATACAGTGTTTATAGTCTTTGGATAGTTAATATTATTGGCATCTGAGTGTTCTAAGCATTTTAAAGACCTTCTCTCATTCATCCTGTCTTCACTTTCCGTGAGTGTAGCCCAGGGCCAGATAGTCTCTCTTTTTTTAAAAAAAAATTTATTTGTTTGTTTGTTTGTTTGTTTATTTATTTTTGGTTGCATTGGGTCATTGTTGCTGCCCATGGGCTTTCTCTAGTGTGGCGAGCAAGGGCTGCTCTTTGTTGCGGTGCGCGGCCTTCTCATTGCCGTGGCTTCTCTTGTTGTGGAGCACGGGCCCTAGGTGCACGGGCTTCAGTAGTTGTGGAGCACGGGCTCTAGGCGCACGGGCTTCAGTAGTTGTGGCACACGGGCTCATTGGTTGTGGCTCGTGCGCACTAGAGCACAGGCTTAGTAGTTGTGGCGCATGGGCTTAGTTGCTCTGTGGCATGTGGGATCTTCCCAGACCAGAGCTCGAACCCGTGTCCCCTGCATTGGCAGGTGGATTCTTAACCACTGCGTCACCAGCTAAGTCCCAGATAGTCTCTTTATATCAAAGAATTAAAACCCAAGAAGTATAGATCAGCGTATCCATTGACAAAGCTAAAGCTAGAATCAAAAGTTTTTATTCTGTCCTTGCAGCTTTACCACAACAGTGGTGGGAATGGGCTTTTATTGGTTATGTAGTCCCTTCTAATAGTGCACAGTTACATTAACTCCAAGTTACTTAATTAATTTTTTTATTTGTTATAAATTTATTTATTTTATTTTTGGCCATGTTGGGTCCCCATTGCTGCGTGTGGGCTTTCTCTAGTTGCGGCGAGCAGGGGCTACTCTTTGTTGTGGTGCGCGGGCTTCTCATTGCGGTGGCTTCTCTTGTTGCGGAGCATGGGCTCTAGAGCGCAGGCTCGGTAGTTGTGGCGCACGGGCTTAGTTGCTCCGCAGCATGTGGGATCTTTCCGGACCAGGGCTCCAGCCCGTGTCCCCTGCATTGGCAGGCGGATTCTTTTTTTCTGCGGTACGCGGGCCTCTCACTGCTGTGGCCTCTCCAGCTGCGGAGCACAGGCTCCGGACGCGCAGGCCCAGCGGCCATGGCTCACGGGCCCAGCCGCTCCGCGGCATGTGGCATCCTCCCAGACCGGGAAACGAACCCGTGTCCCCTACATCGACAGGCGGACTCTCAACCACTGCGCCACCAGGGAAGCCCGGCAGGCGGATTCTTAACCACTGCGCCACCAGAGAAGCCCCAAGTTAATTAATTAATTTATTTATTTATTTAAAATATTTATTTATTTATTATATTTATTTATTTATTTAGGGTGCATCAAGTCTTATTTGCCGCACGTGGCATGCGGACTTCTTAGTTGTGACATGCATGCGGGATCTAGTTCCCTGACGAGGGATCGAACCCGGGCTCCCTGCATTGGGAGCACTGAGTCTTACCTACTGGACCATCAGGGAAGTCCCAACTCCAAGTTAATTTTTTAAAAAGTCCCATATCTAAGCATAACTGAACCACCTTAGAGTAATTCATGGTAGTCATCTCTCTTAAAATCATAGGTACAGTCAAGTTGTATGCTTTAAGGGCACATTGTGTGTGGGGGGGTATTTCTTAAGGGATATTGGCTGTTGATTTTTTTTTTAATAGGCGTTATTTTTTTAGAGCAGGTTTAGGTTCACAGCGAAATTGAGAGGAAGATACAGAGATTTCCCATATACCCCCTGCTGCCCCATCCCTCCAGATAGCCTCCCCCATTATCAACATCCCCGACCAGAGTGTACCCTGTGTTACAATCGCTGAACCTACACTGACACATCATTACCAAGCAGAGTCTGTAGTTTACATTAGGGTTCACCCTTGGTGCTGTACATTCTTTGTGGTGGTGGTTTTCAGAAACACATTTGCTACTGGATTTAGGTAACCTTTTTGTACTGATTCAAGGTTGATCGTGGTTATGACTTTCTAAGTCCTGGTTAGCAAAGAAAGAGTGAATTCCTTGAGAAATTGATAAATAATTCGCTTTAGCCTCCAGTTCAGCGACTTGCAAAATTCATTTTCTGTGAAAAATGAAGTCCGCAGGAGACTGGGAGTACCCAAAAGCCAACACATCTGCTGCTATTGCGTCAGCTAATGGCAGTGTTGCTGCCAAGCTTTCATTATTCGAATTTTGGCTAAAATCCTACAGATACATAATTCTCAAATAAATTCAGAGACTCTTTATTTGGTTTTTGTCACTTATTTATGAGGAAAGATGACCCATAGCTCAGTACTTACTAAGAACTCTTGTGTTACTGCTCCCTTACCACTTAACATTCCGAGACGGGACACTTGAGTGTCACGTAAGCTTCACAGGCAGGAACCACCCAGACATGTACATGTCACTTTTCACATGGGGATTCCCGTCTCTCACGTCTCTTTCCAGGGCTCCTGCTGTCTGGTGGAAGAGGTGATTATTGAGCTCTGTGGAAGAGGGAGGGCTTTGTAATTCAGTACTTAATGACTTGTGAAATTATATAGAATATATGCATTTTTATAAAATACTGAGTAAATGCTTCATATATATTATTAACAAATTATTGAAAAGTTTAAAGATAAAAATTGTAGTACCCATGTAAACAAATTGATGTCCATAATCCTTGAGGTTTTTTTTTGACTAGTGGGTAATTTCATCGTACAATTGTTATTTAGAATATGTATCTCTATTCCCTGAGCATTAAACTTAGTTAGTGATAGATGTCAGGTTTTGAAATGACCACATACTTTTTTTTTTATAATATACGCTAAAGCCACTTACTTTGTCTTATCTTGAGTGATCAGTTTGTTTGACAACATTCTTATATCTTTAATTTGAAGGACAGAACTGGCCAAGATCATGCGTACCAGAGCTAAGGAAATTGAAGTGAAATTGCTTCTCTTTGCTATTCAGAGAACAACTAACTTTGAGGGGTTTCTTGCAAAACGCTTCTCCGGGTGTACCCTGACAGATGGAACTCTGGTAAGATGGTCCTAAGGGAGACTGGACCAGGAAATGAGTGGCCTGGGTGGGTGGGCTTCACTTCAGCCTCTCACACTGTGGTGGTTCCATCCATTGGCTCAAGTGCTTAATCCCCCGTCCCAGGGATTTTGCTGATTTTGTGCAAATAGTCATACAGAATACTGTATGACTGGATTTATTGTTTGTCTATTTTGCAGTACTTTGTGTTTCTAGAATGTCCTGTCATCATTTTGTCTAAGGATAGGCCCCATTTTAAAGACTAGTAGTTCTGTGAGTCATAGAGGCCTCACTTATTCAGTCACAAATACCTCATTACATTATCAACTCTTGAGTTTTGTTACAATTAGGATATGTTTAGAGGAAATGTACCAAGAAAGGGGTGAACTGCAGCCTTAAAAGCAGGAAACGTTGGCGATTTCTACAATGTTCATCACTGAAGAATGGTTAAATAAAATATGGTAAATTCATGCTGTGGAATAGGTGTAGCAGTTTGAAAGTGGTAGAATGGGGGATAGATCTAGATGTGCTGTCATAGAAAGAAAACCTCTCACATATATTAGGTGCAAAATGTAAGCTGCAGCCCAGTATATATGGTGTAATTCCATTTGTGTGAGAAGCATGTTTATATATGTAAATAGGTAAGAAAAAGGTCTGGAAATGATAACAGTAGATGGATGTCTCTGGGGAAAGGAAATTGGAGTGAGACTAGGTAGAGAAGCAAAGAATTTTTTTTTTTCGTTTTATTCTGGTAATTCGTTTGAATTTTTCTTGTAAAAACGCATTTACAAACTTTTTAAACTTTGCTTTTACATAATCTAACGTTATTTTTCAGTTTTTTTTAAATGAGGGAGATGGCCCAAACAGTGACTTCCAAACTTTCTCCCCCTCCCCTCCCCCCTCTCCCTCCCCTCCCCTC